ATGAGTTCCACTCTGAGATGGTAAAACCTTGGACAAGTTTTGCACACTCTACCCAGTCTATTCCTTAACTATATTTGTCAAGTGATAGATGTCAACCAATATAATAAGGGACATAAAAGTTGACATATTTTCTCTTCATCAATTTTACTAGTTTTAACAGCTGATGCTACACGTGTACTGTAAAATGTTTGTACAAGTCACATGCACACATTCTAAGCAAAGATCAGGTAAAAAGGTATATCCCTTTGCTGTTCCCCTCACCTATCCAAGGGAAGGGAGCGGGAGGTTTTCAGAGGCAGTGAGAACTGTATTCACATATTAAGACAACATAGACAGGAAAGGATGGATACATGGGTGGGAGGAAAGGTGAGGCATAAACAAGAATGTCGACAAAAGCGAATGAGGTGGAAGAGTAGTGTGACGTAGGACTACACACTTTCAGAGATAGTCAAGATATGAGTCAGCCACTGCTACTACCACACACACAAGGTGTAGCCACACACAGACACCACTATACACACACCTCTCTCCTCACATGAGCAATGTATTGTGTAGAGATATTCACGTGTATCGATATACATTATATACACTCCAGAATTACATGTGTATGTGTATGTACTGTAGGTGTGTACAAATCTTAGACCACATACACCAGCCAAACTTACATTTCATTCACTCTCATGCAATACAAGTAGCCACCGCCGCTAGTCTTAATTCTCCTATGGTTTCTTTCCCCCTCCTTGCTTCTGTTACCATTTTTGGGCATGCAGTACCCAGGACAACGTGGTTGTTACCACACTGATCAGCAGTAGTAACACACCTGGCTATATTAATACTAACAAAAAAATAAAGTAAAATAAAAAGTAACACTAATAATACTACTATAGAGAATATTTATTGTATCCACACATTAACTGATGCGACATGAATTAAAAAACTAGGAGGGGTGCTGAATAGTTCTCGGCCAAAACAAGAAGGGATGTTAAAAGAAAAGATGTTTGGTCATTTGGTGAGATTGAGAACTTTTCAGCACTCTAATGAATAGAGTTTTTTTTACTAATTATTTAAAAAGAAAACGAACTATAATTAGAGAGACAACAACAATGTGCGAGTTGCATGTTATACAGTTTGTTGGTTGGCTGCTACTACATTATTAAAGCTGGGAGTGTGTGACACAAAGAGAGAGAGAGAGAGAGGAATTTCATGAATGTCACCAACAAGTCCATAGCAAGGAGCTGAATATCAAGTGTTTAAATGTAAATGGGTGTGACTATTTGACAGGTAACATAACAAAGATATTGAAAATTTAAAAACTTGGATACAGAGGCGGAAATAAAAAACCGATGTTTTTTTGTTTTTTTTATGAGTAAAAAAATAAAAAATACTTAAAAATAAATGAAATTTATTTTTTATTTTAGGATACTTTTTTTTTTCTTTTTTTAACTCGGATAGGTAAAGCAAAGGCAATTACTGCTTTTTTGTGTCGCCTTTATAAACAAGAACTACAGCCAGTTTTCGGTTTAGAGGCCTACAAAATATCGACTTTTTAAGATTACACAATGCACATGTTAGTTGGAGTTACAAAGAAAATATGACTAGTTACGAAAAATCATTAGATTTCTGAATAAACACAAATAAATACTTTGAATTCAATATTGATTATAGATAGAATATAAATAGAATATACAGCTTTTTCACAAGGGAAAAAAACTATCACTTATGTGATGACTTAAATGGTCCGTTTTAAGTCGTATCGTACAAAGGCTAAAGCGAAGGTCAGAAAGCATAAAAATACTTTTATTAATAATTTAATTTTCCAAATTTTCAATTTCAGTAAGTGAGGTGTGAAATAACCCGAATATAGCAAATAAAAAAAAATGACTTTTTTGGATGACTAAATTTAAATCGTTTATCTAACAAATAATGAAGAAAAAGAGGTGGAATGCAAGTGTGTCGTCGTCGTCTTCACATTTTTGGACAGTGAAGAAGAAATAGCAGTCAAAAAGAATGACACATACACAGCCTGAGTTTTTTTTTGTCTGTCAAAAGAGGCGATCAATAACATTTAAACGGATTTTAATTTTTAACATGATATCAGAAAATACAAAGTTATTCATTTATTATTCATTATCATCATTTACGCTTTATGTTAATTTTTTTTTTGATGGATATATTTTTTAAAACAATACAAATTGATGACTTCATTAAAAAAATAAAATTTACTTTAAGTTAATAGCTTGAAATACGATTAATAGCCACTATTAAAAGCAGATGCTGTTTTATTTTCTAAGATAAAAGACGAGGACCATGTGACATGAGGAAAATACCTCTTTTCAATCTTAAATTTCAGTCGATCGATGAGCATGCAAGGAAATATTTTTGTCTTTAATCATCTTTAATATTAAATATTTTTAAAAAACAAACACACAACCAAACAAGGAAAACATCGTCGTCCCTCAAAAGAAGAAAAGCATGAAACAAGTTTCAATAAGAAGCAAAAAGAGAAAGATAATTGGTAAATGATGATTAGTCACAAGTCAAGACTACAATTATTACTGCACCTTTTCTTTTTAAATTCTAATCGAAATGAAACAATTCGGTGAACAAAACATCGATTAAAAGCAGTTATTTTTTTTAATATTATCAATCAAATCTTTATCGATTTGAAAAATCCTAATGATTCGACGCAAAAAGGGAGATACAGTCATTTCAATATTTTTTTATCGCAATTTTCAAGATTTTGACAATTAAATCCAACAACCTAAATTTTTTACCAACCAAGAGTATAAATTAAATTACAGAGATCAATAATATTATCTATTTGTGAAAATAATTTTTAAAATCTTATTGTTCTAGATGACTATGAGTAATAATCGGCATGAAATTATGAAACATTATTAAAAAGTTTTTCATGATAAAAAACACAATCCTCAAATAGAAAATATAAACTTTGGTAATTAATTGGAAGATAAAATGTTTTAAATGACATTTAAGTAACAAATCGCATTGGAATTCGTAAAAACAACAAAAAAACGTATTAAAAAAAACTAAAAAGACTTTTTTTTTTTTTTTTACACATGATTTCATTCAATTCTGAATTTATGTTAACAGAAATTAATTTACTAAAGTAATGAAAAGGAAAAAAGGTGTAAAATTAAAAACAATTTCTTATAGGTTTTTAGACACTTTGTAAATTTTATATGTTAAAAAATGAAAAGTAAATTCACTATTTGTTTAAAAATTACAGATTTCCAAAATATAATAGCATCAATCGATTGATTTTATTTCTTTCTGGAATCGAACTTAAATCGGAAAAGGGCTTCTTATTAAAGTTTTAAAAGAAAAGAAAATTGTAACCAACCCTAAAAAAAAAAAAAAAAAAAATCACTATATACTGAAAACACGGAAAAAAATGCCTAGTTTTTGTTTTTACAAAAACTCATATTGCGAATACCCAAGTTGAAAAGAGAAAATTTAAAATGTCCAAAAGGTTTTTTAATTGCTTAACAGAAGATTTTACGATAAGATGGCCATTTGATCAAATCATCAACTTTATTAAAAGATGAAGATGCTAGCTTTTCTTTTTCTTTTTTTTTTTTTATTTACCTTATATCGAAAAAGGACAAAATATTGTCACTTATTTTTTTTTACTCAAGACATTTTTAAAATTACATGAAGGCTTTAAACTTTAGTAAGAATAATTTCTTTTTTTTATTTAGAATAAAAAAAAGAGCGAAATTTTTTTTTTTTTTTTTGATTTTAAGAAACGTGACTCAATTTCATTCACTTCAAACTTTTTTTACTAATTAAAAAACAAAAAAAAAAATCGTTCAAAGGGGGAGGGGCTTCAAAAGTAAGAAAAAAAAATGAATGCCACAGGTAGGTAGGTTGGTTAAATAATCTAGCTAGTTTTTTTGTTCTTCTTCTTCTTTAGGATTTTCGGACAATAAACCAAAAAAATAAATAAAAAGAACTTATTTATTTTCTAGTATTAAAATTTTAAAAAAAAAAAAAAAAAAAAAGGTCCAGCCTCCATCAATATTTTAAAATTGAACAGGTGTTGACATTAACGATGAAAAAAATGGTTCAAATTTAGAAACATAAGAATATAGATGTTATTTTAAAAAAATAACTGAAAATGTTTAAAGTTTAAAATAATTTTAAGAATAAGTATAAAAAAATTTTTAAAAAAATGACTTTTAAAGACGAAACCTAAAATCATAAAAGTATGCGGAGTCTAAAGTCTAAGTTTGCCAAAGAAAGTATGTCTATATTTTTAAAAACATAAAAAAAAGACTAAAACAAAAGATAGGTAAAAAATATTATTTTATATTATTTATAGTAAATAAAAATAAAATATCAAGGGGCAATTTTAGTAGGGAAAAAAATTAAATCTAACAAAAATTATGCAATAAAAATGGATTTTTAACGGTTAACTTAGCGCGGACATGGACGGGTTATGAAAATAAGCGATTTAAAAGTTATTTAAATAAGGAAATAATTAAAAAGAAAATTAATAATTTTTAATTTAAAAGAAATAAATAGAAAAATACGATGAAATTTACCAAAATAATGTCATGACGTGTGATAAATAATCTTTACGAAAAAGCCAACCCCCCAAGTTTAAAAAGTCGATAGATAGGTAAATATCAAATCTCTAAATAAAGCAAGCACTAGAAAAAGACGTACAAAGGGTTAATTTAGATAGATAGATAAATAAAGAGAATTAATAAGATACATGGACTTTTATATTTCAGTTCTTTTTTAAGGTTAGGTTGAAGAAATGATGAAGGGTGGAAAAGAGGAGCCATGACGTGTGACAAAAATGGCTAACATGGCTATCAACAAACAAACATGTCTAGAAAGAAGGGCCCCCACCAGTGATGTTCAGAAAGCGATTTAAAGTATTAAAACAAGATCGTAACGGGACGAAAATAGTACGAAAAGAAAGATTATAGATCAAAGAAGAAGTCTCAAAGAAAAAATAATGTTTAAAATACCTTTTTCTGTTGCTTTTCCCAGGCCGGATCAAGTAAACCCTCCCGGTCCCATTCTTCCTCTTCCTCCATGTATCCATCACTGTAGATTTCATCCGACATGGTCGAAACAAGTTGTTTTGGAGTTTTCCCTTTGAGATGTTTATCTTTTTTTGTTATTAAATCACTTTAAAGGAAAGAAATATGCTGGTCTTTTAGGGAGATAAAGAAGATATTCCTTGTACAACAGGAGAGTCCTTTTTTTTCTTTTTCTTTCCGGCTGCAAGACAAAAAAAACTGCCCTTTTAATTTAATGTCGGTGTTGTGTCTACAATAAAAAAAAAACGTGTTGTTTTTCTTCTGATGTTTTCCCAAAAAGTTAAATCGTAGATTTAAATTAAATCTGGAGCCAAAAACTTTCGCAAATAGCACAATTTACTATTAATAAACATTAATACGAGAAAGATGACGTTTAAATCAGTGTTAAATAAATGTATATATAATATATATATATATATTTAAAAAAAAAAAAAAACCAGCAGTCGTCTTTCTCTTGAAAGAAAAAAAAAATAGATCTCTCTAAAAATTACACATATATCAAAGGATTTATGTGTTAATCAATTAACTTGCTTTATCTCTCTTTTTAACTGCTTTCAAATCTTTAAGGATCGATTTTTTTTCTTTTTTTTAAATTTGGTTTCGGTCAAGAATTTTCCTTTTTTCTTTTTTAGTTGTTTGTTTTAAAAAAAGAGAGAGAGACACACAACAACACTGACACTTTACACACAACACCGCCCCGCCGACTGCTGCTATTCACGCCAAGAGCCACCGACTGACGGACGGATCGCTTCGGCAAAGATCGGCACGTTCCGCTCGACGAAACGACACCCTGCCGGAACTAACCGGATGTTGCCGAACAACACCTAAAACTTGCGACTTTTTCAAAGAGGGGCGAAGGCGAACGTGCGAGCGCGCGCGCGTGTGTGTGTGTACGTATGTGTGTGTGAATACAATTATTCTATGTGTAGTAAAGTACAGTTATTCTACTGTGTTACGGGCCGGTGAGGGTGCGGTTAGCGCAGTACAATTCTGCGTGAAAGAGTGAGTGAAATATGTTAGAATCCGCGGGTACGCGTACAGTCGTAGTGTAGCGATTAACTAAGCGTGACTTAGATGTGGCACAAGGTCGAAAGTATGGAGCACCCAGTGAAGATTGCACTAAAACTACTCAGTCGCAATTGATCTATCAAGACCATTTACACCACGCCGAAGAGCCCCACGATAGTTATTTACTAAGCATAGTTTATGGCACAAGGTTTGTGTGTGTGTATGTGTGTGTGTGCGCGCGCGTATATATGTGTGTTTTTATTTGTAGGACAATAAATTGATATCATGGAAAATAATGTCACTTGTTTATCTTTCAAAGAACTTCATCAGATTCATAATGTTCTTAATCTTATTCTATTAGATAAAACAAGCAGATGTATCTATCTATCTATATATGTGTGCATATATATATATATATATATATATATATATATATATATATATATATATATATATATATTCTGTATTTAGCAGAAAATTCTTCCTTAGGCATGTCTGATTAAACAAACATTATGTCTGCTTACTTTTAGCATAATCCGTTCATATTCACGAATATTTTCCCCGTGTATTACAATCAAACGATGCAAGAAATGCACGGTAACAATGGAAATCACATTATACAGCGCATTTCTTACATCATTTGATCGTAATACACGGAAAAATATTCGTGAATATGAAGGGATCATGCTAAAAATAAGTAGGCATAATGTTTTTAATTTATTTAATCAGACATGCCTATATATATATATATATATATATATATATATATATATATATATATATATATATATATGGTTGGATAGATGTGAGTTTGTGACCCTGGGTTTCACGCTTTAGCGATCGTCAGATGTTAGCTCTATCTCTGATATTGAGCGCTTTCTAATAAGTACCGCGCATATAATATATAAATAATTATACATATATATATTTATTTATATTTATATACACTTTTCACATATATATATATATATATATATATATATATATATATATATATATATGGGAAATGGATTAAATCCGACATATTGTTATTTTTAATTTATTTTGTTAAAACGTTATTTTTATGGATACTCATATTCGAGTAGAAGTTCTGTTTTTTTTTAATTAAACAGTATTGTTTCTCCAACTACATCTACCGGCTTTATCCAGTGACGGTTCCCCATAGAGGATACAGGTTCGAATCCTGCCGGAGCACGCATCTGACATGATTTCTCGAATATTCAGGCCGGTATATGTAGTTGGATAAAAAAAAAATGTTTAATTAAAAAACAGACCTTCTACTCGAATATGCGTATCCATTAAAAATAACGTTTAACAAAATAAATTAAAAATAACATATATTCATATACAAATAGATACATTAACGAGAGAATTTAAGAATCATACCCAGATATAATGTGTATATGTATATATTGTTTAATATTATTGACAAATTCTGACTGTCAATTTATTCATTAATTTTTTTCGAATTTCTGGACAAGTTTTGTTTTATTGTTAAATTTGCTGAAATTCATATTAACATTTATTTCATACAATTTTTTTCCCTGGGTACTTTCAAATGATCTCCAATCAATGTTTGAGAGGATTCTTGCAACCACACACACACACACACACACACACATATATATATATATATATATATATATATATATATATATATATATATATTGTCGGGGGGAGGTTCATGCATTGAATATTGCTGTCACATATCTGTATTTAAAGATTATTGATAAAATGCAAAGAAGAATCTGCAATATTATCGGTCTTCACCTGACATTTCGGCTCCAGTTACTTTCCAACCAAAATAACGTAGCTTCTCTGAGACTTTTCTATAAAAATTTTCGTGGTAACCGTTTTGATGATCTCTCCTCTTTGGTATTTCGACTTTACAAATTTAAGCGTGGTACTAGATTGGCAGCTACGTCTCATCATTTTACATTTGAAATGGTTAAATGTAACCATAAGCTGTATGATATTTTTATCTCCCATATTTTACAGTTAATTTTGATATTCAAAAATTTAAATACAATGTCAACTGCCATCTTCTCTCTTCCAAATTCCTGTTATTTTATTTTTCTCTCACCAGAAAAATGTTTTTCTTTTTCTCATGTTATTTCCCACCCAATAACCCCTTCCGTCTTACTGGTATTTCTATTGCCTTGCTTAGGATGAAATGATTATATATATATATATATATATATATATATATATATATATATATATTACACCAATTGGAGTCATATTTCAACGTATATCAATGCATCTCATCAGGCGACTGTAAATTACTGGCGAGTGAACGATTTATTTGAATTTAAAATCAAAATACAAACACTTTTTCGAAAAAAAAAACTTCTTTTTTTGAAAAAGTTGTATTTTGCTTTTAAATCTAAATAAATCGTTCATTCGCCAGTAATTTACAATCGCCTGATGAGATGCATTGATAGGCGTTGAAACACGACTGCGATCGTGCAACAATTTTATACGTTTTCTGTGTAAAATAAATAAATAATATTGCTCTACTCTGTATTGACTACACTTTTAGATTAAATGTTACGAACGTTGGAATTGTACTCTATTTGTTCTCATCGTACCTCGATATTTATCTATCTCTCTCTCTCTCTCTCTCTCTCTCTCTCTCTCTCTATCTATCTATCTATCTATCTATCTATCTATATATATATATATATGATAGCATATAGTTTAAATGTATGCAATATTTAGATGTGCTCATCATCATGGATGTAAAAACGGGAATTGAAGTCAACACGCATAGGCAACAGGCTGTTTCATGCTTAAGCGCAATCTCCCGATGTTGACTTCAATATCCACTTATATATATATATATATATATATATATATATATATATATATATATATATTCGACTCTCCCGTCGAATTCGACGTATGAGTGTCAAACAGATCAGTTCCAATAAACCGACAGCCCAACAACAGCACATGAGGTTTAATTATAGTGGTGAAGGTTTCGTGCAGGACCATCCACACTTTTTGAAGGGCCGAATACACGGTGCACTTGAATTCAGAGGTGTCCTTCTCCGAAACCAGTCGCCATCCAAGCTATAGAACCCAGTCTGTCCTGCTATTTACCTATATATATATATATATATATATATATACACGTCTCAACCTTCATAAGGTAATATTCATATAAAAATGCACATTTAAATTGTAACCTATGTACAATAATGGATCATATGTAATATAGGTGAACAATTCAAATTTAAAAGAAATTCAAATTTTAGAGATCCCACCTTCTTAAATAAATCAACAATGTTTTACAGCAATATCTAACATTCACTTGAGGTTTTTCTTGTTAAAAAGTAGGTTATCTTTAACACATTCAACATCATGAATAAAAAATATAAATCTTATATGGTGTTTTTCTAGACTTAGTATAAGCAAAAAAAAATAAAAATAAAAAATTCACAATTTTGAACAAAAAAAGGACTCATAACATAATGACGTCAAAATCTGAGAAAATCTTTCATAATTACAGTGTAACCCGGATATAAAAGAGTTGTCGGAACCAGATAAGAAGTCTCTTATATCCGGGTTTCTCTTATATTCAGGTTTGATCTATTATATATATATTAACACAAGCTCTAATTTGGGACCAGATAAAATCTCTCTTATATCCGGGTTTCTCTTATATTCGGGTTTGGTCTATTATATATTCATTAACACAGGCTCTAATTTGGGACCAGATAAAATCTCTCTTATATCCGGGTTTCTCTTATATCCGGGTCTCTTATATCCGGGTTACACTGTATAATTTTTACGAGTATGTCAAGAAATTAGAGAAGTTCTTGTTTTGTACGTGGTTGGTTGAGAAATAGTATTCAGCTTACCGAATAGTAATCTAGTGTGGCATAAGTCTACCTCTAAGATGACCCTGGGTTAAACTCTTCAGAACAACTTATGAGTCAAGGGAAGTCTTATCCTACCTGTGCGTCTACCTGTGTGTGTAGGAAGCATTTATAATAGAATTGAGATGGAGT